GTGTAATTTCATGTGAATATTATATACATAACATTATTTACTGTTTATTATTCCTTTAACACTGAAGGCATGGCAGAATCAATTAAGAGCTGAAAGACTGGGAAATGCTTCTAGAATGACTGCTGGGTCAAAACTTCCTCCCCAGTTTTGCAAGGCCATGTGACTCCTTGTGACCTGATCAACTCTTTTCTGCTCCTTTGGTGGGTGCAGTGAAAATTTCCCACAGGAAATTCAAGGGGCGGCAGACATTTGCTTCAATCATGCCCCTTTCCAGGATATCCTACCACCAATAGTAAGTCAACATTCCCCGTAAGGAAACTCATCTGCATAAGCAAGTTCATTTTTAACAAATACTATGGGTTTGCTTCCCTTCTTTTTCTTTTTGTTTAAATTCTCAACAAATTTCAGAGCTATTTGCTTATTTCTTCAGTGAATTTATCTGATGGGGATTTTTTTATACAGTGGTACCTCAGGTTACAGACACCTCAGGTTACAGACTCTGCTAACCCAGAAATAGTACCTCAGATTAAGAACTTTGCTTCAGGATGAGAACAGAAATTGTGCTCTGGCAGCATGGCAGCAGCAGGAGGCCCCATTAGCTAAAGTGGTACCTCAGGTTAAGAACAGTTTCAGGTTAAGAACGGACCTCCAGAACGAATTAAGTTCTTAACCCGAGGTACCACTGTATATAAAACAACAACAACACACTGAGAGATTTCTTAATATAGTTCCCATTGAAAGTCAATAAGATTGTTAGCTTTTTCCAACTACTTTCTACAGTCTACATCAGGTGCAGTCTACATCAGGTTTTTTCTCTTTAGCCAGTTCCATTGGTCTAAACATCAGCCGTGTCTGTTGTTGACCACATTGAAACCATCCTCTTTTTCTGCCACTCTCCCAAACTGTTGGCAGATTATTCTAGTCTTCCAACTAATATCAATATTTTGGCCCAACAATTGTGCCAGATTCAACCACCCCAGACAATTGTAGGCTGTAAAGTGCCCCAATAGCTCAGGAACCTGGTTGCTGCATTGTATTTGGTGGAAATCAATCCAACTTATTATTCACTGGATCAGAGTGTCAGCATCTATTTATTATATTTATTTAAAACATTCCTGACCCAGTCTTCTATGCAAATGCACTTCCAAAGTGGCTTACACTTAGAACAAATCCACACCTGTGATACAGTTACTAAGAAAACGAGGCAAATATGTTACAACTAGCCAGCTAAGATGAACATCAGTCCTGGCACCCAAAGCCTGGATGAACAACCTGGTCTTCAGCAATATTTATCCCACCAAAAAGAGAGATGAAATTTCATTAAATTTTGCAAGCTTTCAAGCTTCCATGGTTTTTGTTAGGCACAAGAAGCCATAGCAATAAGAAAATACAACACTGTATGGGCAGAGTCAGGTCAGTGGCTACTACTCTTAGAACAAAGGATATGAGATCAGGCTGGACCAAGCTGTGGGTTCAGGTATCGTAAAGTGATGGGTCTTATTTCCAACCCATAGGCACTCTGACATGCTCACAGAGGAACTGCAGAATTCAGTCTCCACATTCACTTCAATAGAGGATGCAACCATCTGTGCAAATGAATGAATTGCATTGGTATTTTACTGGCTCCATTGAAGTGAATGGGGAAGAGTTATGTGTCTGCATTGGAGCTGCTCCAAAGCAGATAACAGATAAAGGAAGCCTATTGTATGGGTGATAAAACTGATGGAAGGGCAAAGAATAGAAAAATGTTTCTTTTGCAGTGATTAGTATAGGGGGAAAATGCAGTGTATTCCTAATTTGTTCCAATTGCATGCCAGACAGCCAGTATTTTCACCAATGCTATTTTATTTAACACTCCAAACTGTTATTCTTAATTACTGTACAGTCTCCACGGTCACCTTATTTTTAACTTTGAAAATGTAAAATAAATGCCCACACGTCAGCAATATTCATTTCATGTGGACATTTTGCTGTTTGTTTTGGCACACAGATGATCCGAAGGGCTCTGGGAGAAGCTTGCTCATCTTCAGCAAACTTAGCACTTTCCTGCCAATATTTGATCTCCAATCTCCAATCTTGTTTGTTTTTGTTTGTGGCAAATTATATTTATGGCAACTTGCCTCCAAAGCTGTTTTCATTGGTATGACAGTGCGCTCTCATCTGGCCAAGTGGTGGTCGGGGGGAGAGAGGTTTAATCCTTCCTAACAATGATCCCAGGGAGATTTCTGTAGAGGTCCTTGAATAAAATAATGAGATGCCCTCATACCCTTAAGTCAATGCATATTCAATAGGTTTTAGCACTTCTGAGCAAATAAACAACTAAATAAATAACCCGATGTTAGTTGGAGAGGGAGAGAGTGAAAGAGAAAGAGAAAGCTTACAAAAGAACAGGGGATGGGAACTGAACTGGAAATATATGAAACCTATTGAATAATTTTAGTAATCTCATTTTTAATACTTTCATTGCGTTTTATTTTTTGCTTCCATCAATCATCTCTTATATATTTTATCTAAGCATCCCTCACCATATTCACTTTGCATGGAATTTTCTAGCAACCTGAATAGTTTTTTTTAAAAAAAACAACAACAACAACTGAACAAACAAATATACAACCACCCAAATAATCCTGCTAATCAAAGATAATTTCATCTTCCCTGATGTTCTTACAAATGGATCATCTGCACATGACCATTCAGAATTCATTTTGAGTTTTGCTTCAGGAAGAATTCTGCGGTGACTCACTTAAAAAGGTTTCTACTAGAATGTCTAGTTCAGGCATAGGAAAACCCGGCCCTCCAGATGTTTTGAGACTACAGTTCCCATCATCCCTGACCACTGGTCCTGTTAGCTAGGGATGATGGGAGTTATAGTCCCAAAACATCTGGAGGGCCGAGTTTGCCTATGCCTGGTCTAGTTCAAAAACAGGTCCATTCATTACAATGCTTTCTGATCTCATACTCAGATTAGAGACTACAAGTCAAAGGTTGAGAGTTGGGGGCAAGATCTTGCCAGACTACGACTCCCATCTTCCTAACTATTGGTCAGGCTGCTTGAGGCAGACAGAAGTTGTTATCCAAAAACATCTGAAAGGCTGCAGTTTCCCTAGCCAAGCCAGGCCACAATTTATCCCTCCCCCCACCCCCACCCCCCCGGGAGTGAGCCCAAACAGCACTAATTGGCTGGCCAGATCCAACCCCTGGGGGAAGCCTGCCCAATACAGTTCCTGCCAGCTCCGGCCAATCACCAGCAGGAAGGCAGTCAAACCCCGGCCGCTTCGCCAGATCACCACAGGGTCTGTGGTCCTGCCAAAACCCACCAAATAAGGCGAGCAGACTTCTCTCTAGCCTTCAAAGGAAGTTTGCCAGGAGACATGGGGTTAACTGTTCAATGAGCCCCCATGGCCTATTGCTGCACAATACTTGTAACTTGTTCCCAAGGATTCCGGTCTAAATTTTGCATCTTTAGTCCTCGCAGCATACTCATTAGCTGCACATTTTAAAAAGGGGATCGCCAATAACCACTTTTGAACACTACAGATGCAATCTTATGCATGTCTACCACTCAGCAGTAAGCCCCATATGTGCTACCTGGGGCTTACTTGCAGCTAGGTGAAAATGTATAGCTAGCAGCCAAAAAAGATTCAGAATGCATTTGGGTAATGACATTGTTTGCTGTTGGAAAGTGAACCTTATTTTTTATTATTATTAAGTACCATGATATATCCAATACAGGTTATTAATGATATTCCTCCTTCCCCTAAAATTCTTTATGAGAAACAACCTTTATAAAGATGAAATGATATACTTATTATTATTTTTTCTGAAACCTTATTCCTGCCTCTCTGTTTCAATTGCCTGTGATTGGAATGTGTGGTTTGCCCCGAAATTTGTCTGGCAAAGGATTTCTGCCTCCAATTTAAACTCAAATAAAAATTTGAATATGACCAAGTAACAGTAAAAGCCCACAGGCCATGAGGCCAAAATGACTAATGCCAACATTTGTTATCATTTGGAATAATGATATGCTAGAAAAGACAGAAACACCAGGGGGATTTTTCATTTTTAAAAATGTATGGAATCCTTAATTTATGCCGCTGAGGAAAACAAACCGAGTGGGACAAAATATAAACGGGCTGAGTTTATTGCAGCCATCGAATTGTATTTTATTTCGGCCGTAGTGGTCACAGAAACAAACAGAAGACTCTAAATTTTGCATTGGGGTGCTTCTTTCCTTGACACACTGCATGCAACCTAAAAGTGGCATTTCGCCCAAAATGCATTTGAACTTGAATCCCACAAAGCAAATAAGGTAAAGGTAAAGGGATCCCTGACCATTCGGTCCAGTCGTGACCGACTCTGGGGTTGCGGTGCTCATCTTGCTTTATTGGCCAAGGGAGCTGGCGTACAGCTTCCGGGTCATGTGGCCAGCAATGACTAAGCCGCTTCTGGCGAATCAGAGCAGCGCACGGAAACACCGTTTACCTTCCCGCCGGAGCTGTACCTATTTATCTACTTGCACTTCGTGCTTTCAAACTGCTAGGTTGGCAGGAGCAGGCACGGAGCAACGGGAGCTCACCCCGTCATGGGGATTCGAACCGCCGACCTTCTGATCGGCAAGTCCTAGGCTCTGTGGTTTAACCCACAGCGCCACCTGCAAAGATGCAATTTGTAGCACCAGCAGCTGTCGTATCCATCACTGGTGTAGAGATGTTCTGTGTGCCTCAGCTACAGGAAGGGCCATAGCTTGGTGGAAGAGCATCTGAATTGTATACAGAAAGATCCAGATCCCACCCCAAGCATCTCCAGGTATGCTTGGGAGTGTCTCCTGCCTGCAACCCTAGGAAGCTACTGCCAGTCAGTGTAGAGATTAGGTGGATATCTGACTCAGTATAGTGTTCCTTTGGAAGTACAAGGCAGCTGCCTGGGTTTCTGTGAGCTGAATCACATGGAAAGCTCAATATCAAGATTATGCTCCATCATGAAGACTGTTGCCTCCCTGAGCTATAGCTCAGTTGGTTAGAGCATGGTGCTGATAATGCAAAGATTGCAGGTTCGATCCCTGTATGGGATGGCCACATATTCCAGCATTGCAAGGGGTTGGACTAGAATTCAGCCTTTATCAACCTGTGGGTCCCCAGATGTTGTTGAACTACAACTCCCATCATCCCTAGCTAGCAAGGCCAGAGCTCAGGGATGATGGGAGTTGTAGTCCGACAACATCCAGGGACCCACAGGTTGAGAACCGCTGGAGATGATCCTCAGGGTCTGTTCCAACTCTACTATTCTATGATTCTAAATGATAAAACCTATATCTCACCTGGCCTTCAGGCATAGCTCTTTCAAGGTGGTTCACATTGTTTATCGATTTTATAAAATCATATGAAATAAAAAAAATGAAATTTCCAAACAATCATCTAGTTAATAATCAAGAATAAATGAAGTTCAAGAACCAACAGATCTACCAAACATAGAGCGAGTTCTTTTATTTCCTTTCTTAAATGTCTTAAAGGAATGTCCGCATTAATCCTGGCTGTTATGTCTGAATTGATGGAATCATGTGTATTTCCCCAGGGAGGGAATTTCAAAGATATGGGGCAACCACAGAGAAGGCCCTGTCTCAGGTTCCCTTCAGTCTAATAAATTGTAATAATGAGGCGAATTGTTCATGATTCCAGGATCAATGAGCCCATTTCCTCTCCCTATCCTGCTGCCTGTATTGTGATTAACCTGAATATGGTGGTTTCGAGACACTGGAGACCATTGCTATTGATCATGAAAAATGCACTGTTTACTCAGTTAATTTGAGTGAATTGTTTCTGCTGGGGACAGGGCATTGAACACTAAACTGTCAGTTTCTGGAGGTCTTGAACCAAACTAGAAGCATGTCGGGGGCAGATCTTTTTTTGTTTTTAACATGATAATTCTTGGACAGGGTCAGGATTTCCAGTTGGACCACAGCACAAGGAGAAGGGAGGTTTAACTCTTCCTCCCCCAGCCACAATTCCATTGGCACCCTCCTCCAAGGCCAACAGCAGTGCAGGTATGATTTCATCATAATCACAGTTGGGGAAATACATTTTAACACACCCACCCATGCACCATGGCCCCAATAAACACTGACAACTCTGACTCCAGTTTTAATTCACAAAGAATAATATATTACATAGTCATTTTACTGCCTCCATTGAATTGAATGGGAAAGAGTTTTGTGTGTGCGTTGTGGTTCCTTCACTGCGGAAAACAATTAAAAGAAGCCTACAAATATGCAAAAAGATAATAATTGAATGCTGAATTTTATATCTATATTTGGCAATTTAATTAATTAATTTATTTGCTGCTATCCTATACACATTTACCAAGGAGCAAGCCACATTGAACTCAATAGGAGGGATTTATAAAGAACTGAGTATAGAAAAGGGTAGGAAGCATTTGACCACACCCAATTTTATGTTCTGGCCACACCCACTTAGAGTCCTCTGAAGGTTTGGCCATTGGTCAGCATTAGGCATCCCTAGCAGAGGGTCTGTTGATTTCCTCCGTTCAGTTTTCACATCAGTTCAGTTTATACATTTTCTTGAATTTGTTTTACGGAACTCTTTCTCTGGATAATTGGTCAACTCGGCTCACATTTAAATGATTTTAAGCTATAGATGATTGATAGAGATGGTCTTTGGTGATAAATGCTTCCATTTTGCAATGTTATTGTATGTCCATGATGCTGCTAATGGATTTTATTGTAGTTTTGTGATTTTCATTGAAAGCTGTCGGGCAGCAGCAGCTGGAAAATAATGGCTGCAAAGTGGCCAAAGTTAAGCCCTTCTGTGGTCCATTAAATTCAATGGGGTATTATGTATGTGCATAACTCTCACCCACTGAGAACAGTGGATCTTAAATGCATTTCATTTTGACTGGGTCATGGCTAATAATAATATTAGAAGAGACACTAATATTTTGAGAGTGATTGGCTTCCAGTGAAGTGTTAGCTCTTAAATACTGTGTATTTGAAAGTGAATATTTAAATTGGCAGAGGTAAAATTAGCTTTCTCTAGCTCTTCTAAGAAATTAGGAGATGGGTGAACCCTAAAAAAAGCCCAACAATTTCAACCCTAAACAAAAGCTCAACAACTTCAACCCTAAAAAAGGTCAACAACTTGGGTTGGCTCTTTGGTTGGCCCTCGCGGTCCTTCACTTCATCAAATCTGGCCCTCTTTGAAAAAAGTTTGGACACCACTGCTCTAGATCATGGGTAGGCAAATTAAGGTCCGGGGACAAGATCCTGCCCAATCACCTTCTAAATCTGGCCCGCGGGTGGTCCGGGAATCAGCGTGTTTTTACAAGAGTAGAATATGTCCTTTTATGAGTAGAATGTGTTCTTTGAGGCTTAAAAAGCTGGGTTAGCAGGAGTCTGCACCAGGTTGTATATATAGAGTGAGAAATGTTAGTTTGGGTTGGGTTGGTTGGTTGGTTAGTGAAAGCTGGTAGTGTTGTGTGTACAGTTGGTCAGTCGCATTTGCAGAAAGACTTTTAAGAATAAAAGCAGAAAGTACTCTGCAAGGATACTCTTCTTGTGGACTCTTTTATGCCGACAAGGGTCCAAGAACCAGGCTGAGGCAACAAAGGGAGGTCAGAACCTTTTTTTATTTTATTTTACAAACACTGACAAATGCATCTCTGGGTTATTTGTGGGGCACAGGAATTCATTCACTCCCCCCCCCCCAAAAATAGTCCTGCCCACCACAAGGTCTGAGGGACAGTGGACCATAGAATCATAGAATCATAGAGTTGGAAGAGACCACAAGGGCCATTGAGTCCAACCCCCTGCCAAGCAGGAAACACCATCAGAGCACTCCTGACATATGGTTGTCAAGCCTCTGCTTAAAGACCTCCAAAGAAGGAGACTCCACCACACTCCTTGGCAGCAAATTCCACTGTCGAACAGCTCTTACTGTCAGGAAGTTCTTCCTAATGTTTAGGTGGAATCTTCTTTCTTGTAGTTTGGATCCATTGCTCCGTGTCCGCTTCTCTGGAGCAGCAGAAAACAACCTTTCTCCCTCCTCTATGTGACATCCTTTTGGATATTTGAACATGGCTATCATATCACCCCTTAACCTCCTCTTCTCCAGGCTAAACATGCCCAGCTCCCTTAGCCGTTCCTCATAAGGCATCGTTTCCAGGCCTTTGACCATTTTGGTTGCCCTCCTCTGGACACGTTCCAGTTTGTCAGTGTCCTTCTTGAACTGTGGTGCCCAGAACTGGACACAGTACTCCAGGTGAGGTCTGACCAGAGCAGAATACAGTGGCACTATTACTTCCCTTGATCTAGATGCTGTACTCCTATTGATGCAGCCCAGAATTGCATTAGCTTTTTTAGCTGCCACGTCACACTGTTGGCTCATGTCAAGTTTGTGGTCAACCAAGACTCCTAGATCCTTTTCACATGTACTGCTCTCAAGCCAGGTGTCACCCATCTTGTATTCGTGCCTCTCATTTTTTTTGCCCAAGTGCAATACTTTACATTTCTCCCTGTTAAAATTCATCTTGTTTGTTTTGGCCCAGTTCTCTAATCTGTCAAGGTCATTTTGAAGTGTGATCCTGTCCTCTGGGGTATTAGCCACCCCTCCCAATTTGGTGTCATCTGCAAATTTGATCAGGATGCCCTTGAGTCCATCATCCAAGTTGTTGATAAAGATGTTGAATAAGACCGGGCCCAAGACAGAATCCTGTGGCACCCCACTAGTCACTCTTCTCCAGGATGAAGAGGAACCATTGATGAGCACCCTTTGGGTTCGGTCAGTCAGCCAGTTACAAATCCACTGAGCGGTAGCATAGTCAAGACCAGTCACCTGCTGAAAAAGTTTGCTGACACCTGCTCTAGATGGCATCATTAATAACACTGGGCAACAATTTTTTACTTTTTGAATGTTGTCTAGATTTCTACAACTGATTTAGGGTATTTTTGCACTGCTGAATCAGGAAATGGCATCCGTTTCTCTCCATCAGGTCAGGTTTTCTGTAAACTGAATGGTGGGCATTGATAAAGGTAAGTACACGTAAATTGCACGTTGCTTCGCCATTTTTCAAACTTCAGGGCTTGAACTTCTGTTTCTTGGAACTCCTGGAATGCTCAGCAGCATGGAGGTCTCTCTTCATAGTCCAACAGTAGTCAGCCATCATGACTGCGTCCCAGCGACCCTGATACCTGGTCTCCATCTCTTTCATGTCCTGATGGAATCTCTCCCCCTGCTCATCACTCATTGAACCCAGGTTCTCAGGAAACCAGTCCATATGTGAAAATAGGTAGTGCATCTTGACGCTCATGTTGCAGCCCAGGTTTCTGAAAGCAGTCAGCATGTTGTTGACAAGTTCTGCGTAGTTTCTGGCCTTATTGTTGCCAAGAAAGTTCTTCACTACCAGAACAAATGCCTTCCACACTTCCAGTTCCATTGAGCTTCCGAACTCTGGATCTCTGATGAGCTGACGGATCTGAGGACCATCAAAGATGCCAGCTTTCAACTCCTCCATGGTCAATCCTGGAAAAGCCTGGCACAAGTAAATGAAACAGTCACCATCCTTGTCCAGAGCCTTGGTGAACTGCTTGATTAAGCCGAGCTTGATGTGCAGCGGTGGGAGGAGTATTCTGTCTCTGTCCACCAGAGGGTCGTTGATGACGTTCCTTTCTTTGCAAGGCACCAATTCCTCCCACACAGGCCAGTCCTTCTTCGTGTAATGCTGAGCACGGTCCCTACTATCCCACATGCACAGAAAACATGGGTACTTGGTGAAGCCAGACTGTTGTCCCAACAAAAGTTCACCATCTTCAGGTCAACACAAATAAACCACTTATGCTGATCATAACCAATTTTCTCAGCACATACTTCACCGCTTCATAGTTCTCCTTCAGTGTACTCGAGTGAGCCAGGGGTATAGAGGCAAACTGGTTGCCATTGTGTAGCAGAACACATTTCAGTGATCGCTTCCTGCTGTCAATGAACAGTCTCTAATCTTTGGGTTCGTACTGTGGCACTCCAAGCTTGAGCAGAAGCTGGGCAATATCTGCACAGTACACCAAGTCCTT